CGGGCTCATTTCATCCTGACAATGACCTGCATCTCAGTCACCTCTGTGTCCTTGGCATTAAGCACGATATATGGAATATGGTGCTGCTTCAAGTTGTTTGATGAACAGCCCTCTAAGTCCGAGAGAGATGACTCCTTTGACTCCTGGGTCTTTGACTCTTGGTTCTTAAAATTAAATTTACTTTCCGTATGTTTATTTTAGATAAATATTAATATGCAATTAAATTTATGCCATACCTTACAAATACCATTAATATTTATCCTTTATCAAACAGCTTCAAAAAAAAACCTCCCATAGGTTGTCACCAGCTGGAAGATAAAGTCCAAACTTCTTCTGAAACTTAAGGCCTTCTGTGACCTGGCCCCGATCACCCCTCTAGACATGTGTCTCACCATATGTCTCACCATATGTTCTCCCTTGGGAAAGGCCAAGAAGGAAAGTGATTTAGTTACTGCACCAGACTTTGTGTTAAAACACCAGGTTCAAGTCTGAATTCATACTAAGTAGCAGTGAAACTTCAGACTAATCATTGAACTTCTTGTGTTCTCATTGTAATAAGGGGAGTAACACCTGCCCTGCTCATTACACAGCATCAGAGACAGTTGATGGTGGGGATCAAAGAAACAGTGTGCTAGCACATTTTGTGAGCAATAAACACTATACAAACACAATGGGTCACCATACTGCGTGTTCCTGCCTCTGCCCTTTCCCTGTAACTCTTCTTTCTCACCATTCATTCATTCATTCATTCACACATTAAGTAATCCAACAAATGTTAATTGAGGGCCCACTCTGTGCTGGCCCAAAGGATACAGAGATGAGGAAAATCCAACATATTCTCTGCCTTCACAGAACACAGGGTCTTGTGGGAGAAAATGGTTGCAAACTGTATAACCACACAAACAAAAGTAAAACTGCAGTTGTGATTCCAGCTCAGGGGTGGGTCCACATGGCCCCCAGAAATTATAATGGAGGATCCGGCACTTAAGTTGCCTCCAAGGCCAAGTTCAAAGTCTGCTTTCTCCAGGAAGCCCTTTCATTTTTTTTTTAATATTTTTTTATTTATTTGACAGAGAGAGAGACAGCGAGAGAGGGAACACATGCAGGGGGAGCGGGAGAGGGAGAAGCAGGCTTCCCGCGGAGCAGGGAGCCCGATGTGGGGCTCGATCCCAGGACCCCGGGATCATGACCTGAGGCGAAGGCAGACGCTTAACGACTGAGCCACCCAGGCGCCCCCAGGAAGCCTTTTCTAACAATGCTGCCCCAAAGATCTGCACCCCCTGCCCCACCCTGAACTGCAGTTAACTTCTCTCTCTAGCTCATTTAATCATACCCAGTCAGGCCGTGTATTTTTTCAAATTGCACCTGGTTTTCCCAACTTTACTGTAAGTGCCTTCTAGCAGGGAATGGCCGGCACACTCTTAAATTCCACAGATTTAAGCCACAGAAGGCTGGACCCACTGCGTTCCAGACCCATGTGTCAGGCGCTGTCATAGGAAGGAAGGGTACCCTTCCTGAAAATGAGCTCCAGGGGAGACAGGAAGCTGCCAAAGACCATCTCCCTGTCCCTTATTCACAACTGAGCAAACTACCCCTGTTCTTCAGAGGAGAAAATCTCTCTTCCTTAGGTCAGGCTGCTGCCTAGTATGATCTTTCAAAAACAAAAATTTCATCATCTCTTTCCCCAGCTAAAAACCTTTCCAGCAGCTTCCAATAGTCTTCAGGATAAAGCCCAACCCCCTCAGCATGGCCTCCACATCCCTCCTGGTCGAATCCTGCCTGCCTCTCTCGTCTCAACCTCCAAAAGGCTCATATAATTCTCGCTGCAGGACCTCAACAGCACCCCACTCTCAGGCAGCTGGACTCCCCCATCCCCCACCCATTTGTCTGGTTCCCCTTTGAAAACTCAGCTCAGCCATCTTTTTGTCCAGAACCTTTCCCCAGACTAAGGGTGCTTCCAGGGTCCTGCTACATCTGGTGTTCCCACTCTCTCACACACTGTATACCATAATGGTCAGTCTGTGTAGCTACCAACGTGTAGAGTGAAGCCAGCATGGGGACAACTGTGTTGTTCTATCCCTCATTCTCTAGTTCCTGCCATAGAGCCTGGCATGCGGTGAGTGCTCCAAGGTGTTGAATAAATGAACCACAACCTGGCTCATGCTTTCCTAGGCCCATTAGAAGAAATGGATCTCTGACATGCTGGGAGCACAGCAAGGGCCTTGATCTGTGATGGACATCGTGAGAAAGTTTTTCTTTGATTATCACAGGAAATGCTGACTTCCTGGGAAGGGAAATAATAATTTATTAGGCACTGACTGTCTCAGACACTTTACTGTTTTACCTGCATGGTCTCATTTTTTAAGTAAGGACACTGAGGCTCAGACAGGTTAAGTGACTTGCCTAAGGTCACTCATCAGGCAGAGGTAAAACCAGAATTTAGAACCCAGGGAGTTAGACTCTGAAGCGTGTTCTCTTAATCACTATATTCTACTGTCTCCAGTAATAACTGTGAAGGGGTTACAGAGGTATCCACAGTAGAAGTCAACTCCAGAATCTGCAGTTTCACAGGCACATTCCTCAGCCACCCTGTGGGCTCTGCTGTACCTCACTGCCTTTGTAGAATGCTTCAGCCAAAATGGGAAGGATAGAAAGAACCAGGAGAACTAGATGGGAGAATCCTGCTATTTTAATGTGATGAGGCACTCAGGAAGCTGGGAATGTTTACCTTGGAAAAAAGAATTTTAGGGAACCAGATATTAATTGAAGAATATGTAACAATTATATAGAGGGACACAAGATTATATGCTTCCACGTAACTCCCTAAGGCAGAACTTGGCCAACCTTCAACCAATGAGAACTGTCTGAAGGTGGAAGGCTCTCTGTTACGGGGTGGGGGGACGGGGAGGAACAAATATGAGAACTCTTGGAATCCCAAGAAACTATCACAGACCCAATTTAGGAAACTCCACACTGTACTGCTTTTGGTGATTATTCTGTCCCAATGTGACAATAAAGTTGAAGGTAAACTTACATTCCAAAATCACATGTGGCAATATTCAGTTTTCAGTGGTCATTTTTAAAAAGTATCACATATACTCAATTTCTTTTTAAAACCATAACATTTAAATTTTATTACAGAGAAATAACGGATTCTACAAAATCTAAGTGAGCATTCTAACTTGAAAGAGCCCAAGGGGTGGGGGGGAATAAGTGCCTTTCAGGTGCCTTTGAACTCTGAAATTCTCAGAGGTGCTGGATTCCAGAACTTTGGACTGGTACTTGCATTCTCAGCTTGGACATGACAGTCACATTGCCGGTCTACATCCCAGAAAGGCTCTCCACTGAGCAAAAACTGCTCAGTTTGCAGTAAAATACAAGGCAGTGTCTTTCTAAGCTTTGAATTGCAAGAACGGCAGGTTCCACAGTGGACTCTATAATCACTCTGCCCTGGTCATATTTCATTAGCTTTTGTTCAACCTCTGGGAGAAAAGAAAATACAGGGTTGGGAATTCGAATATCAGATGTGGGTTCTGGTTCTGCTACTAGGTATCATTGTGTTTTTTTGTTTGTTTTGTTTTGTTTTTTTGCAAGCTCAATTTTCTTCAAGTTCCCTTCCCTACCTACTTTACAAGGTCACATGAGCTACAACAAGTGAAACATTTAGAAATTAAATCCATCTAACACATGTAAGGCTTTATTATGATTATCTCTGACATCATCTTCTGGCCTGCAGCTGCAAAGAAGACATCATATTGACAGCACTCTTGGTCCTGGAGAGATGAATGTGGGTGACAGTGCTCAGTCTGAGTGGGTGTCCTTCCCTTCTAAAATCAGATATAAATGATTGGGGATTATCTGCTGTTTCAGATCATATTTACTTCTGCGCTTGCCACTGAGAAAAATTGACAATATTTAGCTCTTTTTTGTTTTGTTTCCCTGAGTTAGATGCGAAGTGTTTCTTCCCACTTTCTCCCTCTTTCCACGTTGAGAGTTTCCCAATGGCAAAGATCATTCCTTTTTTCGGCCATGGAACTCTCTGAGGGTAAGAACATGTCCTTGCCGTACCACCCACAGTCCAACCTGAATGGGAAATCTCTAGAAATGGGAACCATGTCTTCGGGCGCTGGCCTCATGCCTCAGGTGCAATTACTCAAACACAGGGGTGAGACCCAAGGGACTGAAGCATTCAGTCAATGCTAAAACTAGGTTAAGATGCCACCATTACTTTCTAATAACTGATTTCCTTGGGTAGATGAAGCAGACAATGGGACTTCTGTAGTGATAGAGAACTCAGAGGGCCGAAGGGCCGACAGATCCAAATTTGTACGCTGATTTTGCCACTTACTTGCTTTGTGACTGCCCGATTTACCACCCAATCTGGGCCACGTTTCTTCGTCTGTGCCAAAGGGGAATAATAATACAACGCATCTTCTCGGCTTGTTGAGAGGATTAAATGAGATATACGAAAAGCCTTACCCCAGACTCTGGCATAGGGACACTGTAGGAGTTTCGTGGAGACCTGTAGCTGGAGACCAAGAAGCGGCAAAGCCGGACCGAGCAGTCAGGTCTCCCGGCTAAGGATCAGTGCTCCGCACACCACAACCCACCGCCTCTCAAGAGGCCTCCAACTCCCGACGACCCGGGGCCGCCTAGAGTCCCCAGGGAGGAAAGGCGGCCAGGAGCCAACCTGGCTTCTTACAGCAAAGGCTCTCCAAGAAGGCCTGATGCATTCGGGGTCCCGGTGGGTAGCACCCGCAGGCCTCATTACTTACCCGGTAATGGTAACGGTCCTTAACGGTAGCCAATAACGTATCACCTGTGGCCGAGGCACTGGCAAGGGCAGGCTGAGGTCAAACCTTGGATTTTGGCGCTTCATCCCGAAACCCTAAGCAAGCATCGAACTACAATTCCCAGCATGCCACGCGGCCGCCCGGTTGCGGAGCGTCGGCCCCGCCAACCTTGGGGCCCTTCTTTCCTCAAAACGCGGCTGAACGCCCAGGACTTCCGGGTAGTGCTGGCCCCCCCCATTCAGGACAGCCTCCTTTTATGATTTCTGGGTATTGTAGTCCACGTTCTTCCGGTTTCGCCAGAATGAGCTGTTTTTAACTACGGCTCCCTTCGACACAAAAACTACAAAACCCAGACTATATCGCAAGTTCCTTTCGTCCAATAGGAACCCCCCATGTAGCGAGGCGCGGAGGCCGGCTCTCGCAACTCAAGATGGCGGACGAGAGTGAGACAGCAGTGAAGCCGCCGGCACCTCCGCTGCCGCAGATGATGGAAGGGAACGGAAACGGCCATGAGCACTGCAGCGATTGCGAGAACGAGGAGGAAAACAGCTACAGCCGGGGGTAACGATATCCTCGGAGTCCAGTTCCCGTCCAGTCTCCCACAACCTGGGTCTCTGGGGTGCGGGGAAGTCACCGGGAGCTTAGGGTAACCCCACCCCCACATTCTAATTGGCTGAGACATTGGGATCCTGCCTGGCGATTGGTTGCTGTCTTTGTCATTTAGCAGGGTGGGTGCTCAGTATATTAAGGGCCGGAGACATTCAATACTTTTATTATATAAAAGTTCTTCTGTGTAATGTTCCACTCGTTTGCTTCTCCCGCGTTCAGGGAAAAGAGCATGTTGGACGATGGTTTTCGATGGCACAACCCGGGTCAATCTAACAGTACAGTTCAAAGGGAACGTTACTTACAGAGGTGTGTGAACAACGTGATTAGCAATAAAGGAATAATAAAACATTTCGCTGCAGCTCACTTTCAAAGAGGAAATATATCAGGTTGTACAAACCATAATTATGTTGTAAAATATCACTAACAGGAGAATCTCAAAATACAAACTTACCTTATAAACCCTAGAGTGTAATTACTGTATGATAATGTTTTGGTGTGTACGGTGCCCGTTGTTCTAGATAATCTATAAGTTTCCTGAACAGTATATAATTAGGTCTTCTAGGATCTTTGCTCTGTTTACTTTGTTGAAATAGCCTCAAAACTTCAAGAAATTGCGTGATGGTGCAGCTTGGACGGGATTGGAAGTGGGCTTAATACTGCATCTCCTGTACTTCTCTTGCCTGCTAGTAATTGTTTGTTACTTGGGCAGAAGAAATTAATCAGGCGTCTCAGTGTTGAGTTCTATTTCCAAATCAGTTTTCATTCTTGTAGGCCACACCCTGTCATTCTTCTTTCTTCATATTGTTACAGTAACTGGTGCTGAAGCTCTGTCCCTGTCTATATTTCTGTGTATGTTTTTTAACGGAAAGTTATGAGACTTTTTGACGTATAACTTTGGGTGAGTCTGTGGTGGTCTGATTTTGTGCGCGCGCGTGTGTGTATGTGTGGTAGTCCCCTTTTCATAGCCATGAAGTCATTTGCAGTATTAGCAGTAGCCTGTAGGTAAAGGTAAAAGGTTGAAATCTTTGGATAAACTTAAAAAAAAAAATCCACTGCCTTGTAAAGATGGAAGAACAAAGGATTAATTAAGTAGTTTATAATCTGCTTGTGATGAATCCTTAGGTTAAAAGATCTAGCTTTTATGTTCTTTGACCAGCATTAAAAAAAATCACAAGAAGAATGTAAAGAAAAAGGAAGTTTGTCAGATCTGGTTTTATAAGAGTGTGTGTTCTTTTGCTATAACTCAATAGATCTCATGTAACAAAAGCCTTGAAGTTGGAGATTCCTAAGAAAGGAAGAGCCTTTTAAAGAGGAAATAGGAACAGGAAGAAGGGAAAGTGCAGCCCTCCTGAGTAGAAATCCTAATTATAGATGAGAGCTGTTGAATTCAAAAGTCATTTCAGAAGTGAAAGTAAGGCTTTTTCTTTGCTCTGTGTGTAGTTGCTTTTATTTTTTTCTGCTAAACTGTTGCCCTGACAAGTGTCTATAGCTCTTTAATTGGTTTTATTTCCTATGATCTGTGAATCACTTTGCAAAACTATTTGGCAGAAAGTTCTGTGTTTTATTTATAGTAAAACAAAGTGGTAACCTTAAAAAAAAAAACTTTTTGTTTTGTTGTTATTGTTGTTGTGCATGGTTATATATGGTCTGGTGAACAAATTTATTAGTATCCCAAATCTAGAGGTCTGTATAAATGAGTTTGGAGGTGGCAGGTGAAAAACAGAGGACCTAGCTTGGAGGACAGGCTACTTCGGGCACTCAGAATCTGAAGTGGAGTTAATATTTTCCCATTAATTGTCAGAGGAAATGATTTTGGAAGAGGCAGTGTGGCACGGAAAGAGCATGGATTTTGGGGTCATTCATGGGGTTCAAAGCCTGGTTCTGACACTTAGTTGTCCTGTAACCTTGGGAAAGTTACTTAACCTCCAGTTGTAGGGATTAAATGAGATAACATTGGGAATACAGCCTGGCCCCTCCCTCCTGTTCTTCCTTCAAATCTTCCCTGTCCTCCTTTCCCCAGCCTGTGCTCTTATCACATACCTCGTTTTTTGTAGCTTTTATAACAGTAGTTAAATAATGTGTGTCCAGTCCCTGCCTCACCTGATTGTAAGGTGCCTGAGTAGAGGGACCATGTCTTCGAGATGCCTGGCACTTAATGGGCATTAGTGAGTATTTGCTGGATGAACAAATGGCAAATGTTAAAATTCAGAGTTCAGTGTCGGTGGAATTTCTCCTCGCTGAGGGGAAGATTTTTCTTACACAATTTCTTACCCGAAGTCAGTCTCATTGTGAGCCTTACTACAGTTTCCTGTGAAATACCTACAGAAATCGGGGACCCTCCAATTTGTCCTGGAAGTTTTCCACTGTTTTTTTGGCTTCTTGAAATTTTCTTATCTTAGTATTCCTTAAAATGTTTTCAAAAGTGATGTAAGAATTGAAGGGGAGCATCTCCATTTGATGCTAATGAGTCTAAAGTACAATATGCAACAAAAGTTAATGATAGTTCAAACTCACCCTTATTCTCTTAGGCCTTCCTTTCAAGATGGGCTCACAGTACTTTACACCAATGAAAGAAACGTAATTAAATAAACATTTGATGAGTATAGATTTCACATATACATCGAAACACACATATGTGCATATGCATACATGCAGTGTATGTATATGTTTGTTTTGTGTGTGTGTGTTTTTTATGTCTGTATCTCTCTAGTTTTTCTGTATGCTATTTTTTTAAAAAAATCTACTCAACAAAGGCAGGCAGCATTTTTCCCCGTTACTCGCCTGAGATAAGTTACCCTGAGCAACTGAGAGAAGAGTCAGACTACGATAATTTTTTTTTTCCAGGTATAATTTATTTGAGAGAGAGTGTGTGCACACGTGGGTGCACACAGGAATTAGGGGAGAAGCAGAGAGAGAATTCCAAGCAGACTTCCTACTGAGTGCAGAGCCCCACTTGGGGCTTGAAACCAGGACCCATGAGATCGTGACCTGGGCTGAAACCAAGAGTGAGACGTTCAACCTACTAAGCCACCCAGGCACCCCCAGACTAAGATCGTCTTAGTGCTGTATCCCCATGCAGTTCACCATTCATCTATATGCTTTAATTTGCTTATCTGTTTTTAGTGAAAGGCTTTCCAAGAATTGTTACTAAAGAATAAACCTTATTAGCTGGCAGGTGATTTTAGTTTTGGGTTAACAAACAAGTAAAGTTTATTTGAATGATTGAAACAGGAAAGGACTTTTATATTATTTTGTTCCTGGGATTCTTTTAGAGTTTATTTTGCAATGTCACTGATACCACTGAGATGCAGGTAAGCCATCCTTTTGATAAGGATGTCTCTTTCCCATCCTGCTTTCTTACTCCATGGGGACAGGTTAAGATGAGTTCTTGTAAGTTTTCCTCACTAGTCCTGAGCTGTTATCTCTTATGAAAAAACTTAAGAGAAAACAAAGGGCTTTTTGAAAGGAAATTCTGTAAAGCCAGCCTTGCTTGCTTTTGTTTTATTCTTCAGATTCTCCGAGAGTGGTTCTTTCCATATTTATTTGATGGCTTATAGCTACATCTAGCTCTTGGAAAGAAGAAATCTTTTTCATCCCTTTTTCTTAATTTCTCCCTTCAGCTTTTGGTTTTTCAAAACTAGATCAAAGCAGAAATGAAAAGAGAAACCTCATCACTGATATCGAATAAGTGTTCTAATTTTATTTCCCAATTAAGTTGCAGTTAAAAAAGAAACTAATCAAGAGCTGCTTCAAAGAGGAGACTGGAAAGCAGAAGAAATGAAAAGCAAATGAGAGCCTATTTCAGGGAGACGGCTGCTCATGGCACACCAGTTTTGCTGATTTTTCACATTGTTTAACTAATGTGCTCACTCTAAAATTTCCCAGCTTTACCAAGTCTGCGCTTAACCCTTTGCCTGCAGAGTCCGTAGATTTGGGGACCGTAGGTTTAGTCACTTTAGGAGGAGCTCCTTCAGCTCTTCTTTGTAACTTTGTCTGAAATCTCTACCCTGCAAGCCTCTCTTCTGATTCCTCAGGGAAGGTGCTCTAGGGATTGTTGCATTTGAAACACACAAACATGGTGTTCTCTTTTGAGAGCACCAAAACAAACAAACAAACAAATACAAACTTAAACTAAAATTCTTTGACAGGGTCAGTACTTGCTTAGAAATTTTTTCTACCGCTGCTGACTTTGAGAGGCAGCTGAGGAGGTTACACTGTTGTCAAGCGTTTGATAAATGTTATCTGTTGTTACTATGTGCTGGCCACTGTGCTGAGCCCTTTCCATGGATTATCTCCTAGACTTCACTTAAAAAGACTGATTTGTCTTTGGTAGTGAGGCTTGGGATTTTCATCTCTACCTCTTCCTTTGACACCCTGGAGGATCCATTGCGAACTTGCTGGATTTCTTTTCCCTACTGCCTTGATTTCTGCCTCCTGACTCTGCAGCAATGTTGAGTCCTGTCTTTGGATCCATTCAGTAACCCATGAACTTTCCCACACTAGGGAGCCAGTTGGTGATGGAGATGGCTGACCCCTTTAAACTCTTCTGAATGGACAAGTATCTTTTGCAGAGGTCATTCTAGTGTGTGAAATTTCTGCTAGCAGTGAGTCGTTGCTCAGAAAATTACTGAAAATGGTCTCTGAACAGCATTTGATTTGACCTTGGAGTTGCCAGGTTACAGCGTGGCTTGCCAAAGCAACCCAGAGGATGTGGAATTTACATTTCTGTCTCAATCCCATTCTAAACAGTTTAGTGTATCAGAGCTTTTGTGACCCCTAAAAAAAAAAAACCGAGTTATTCTCCATGGCAGGAACTGGCTTGTTCACCCTCAAAATTCTGACCAACTGTCCCAGGAAGGGCAGAGGATGGCAGTAAAAGCAATTTTTGTAATCCCTTCCCACAACCTGCTGTTCTTTTCACAGGCCTTCTGGGGTACCTTGATGGCAGTACT